TTACATGCTTAAAAAGTGCGTTGCTCTTACTGTTTGCCTAACCTGTGTTATTCGTGGATTAAAATTTGTTTTCCATTCTTCTATGTAGCCAAACCTTTTGAAATCTGCAGCCCATTTCAAAATGAACGTTTTGCTCGGAACATGATGTTTGGTACAGATACCTATCCTGTATGCCCGAGCAAATAAAGCACAGGCCGATTTGGGAGATTTTGTTTGTTGACATATCTTCACTGCAAAGGCTTGATGTACAAGGGTTAGCTGTTTCATCATCTGTCCTTTGTGCTATAGCAATGAACTTAAAAACAAAACATAACCCGAATGCATGTTCTAGATTTGGGTTAGTTTTGATGTCAATTGGATCATAAACAAGACTGTTATTAATATTTCTTTGAACGAACTTTTTTTCTGGGCAGCTGGTATATTATGAATGTTGCTTTATTTTAAGAATTGTGTATTTTTGTATAATTTCGTGTACTGATAGATGAACAGATGGTTCTCTTTTTTCGCGTGTCTGGCGTAATGTATTGAGCAATAATATAGTCACCCGAGCTGCTCTCAGCATTCTCCCAGCTATCTGGTCCACTCTAAAGAAGGTTTGATGACTCCCTGGTCTAAAGTACAGCTACATTCTTCCCACAGCGACTCTGGTGGCCCGTGTCCCGACTACGAGTGTGTACCCGTATGTCCTCCTGTAATGATGCCCACGTGTCTACCGGGATTTATTACTGAAAAACAGTAAGTAACGCCTTTCATTATTTTATATTTCAGTTCTATTTAGTCTCCTATTTCCTGAAAATTATTATTTCGTTTAAAAGATATGATGCCATCGAGTATACATATAATATATAAGACAAAATTCTTCATTCATTGGATATATAATGTATGCCCAATCTATCAATATTGGTACCCCTCAATACACGGGCGAAATCTATTTATGTTTCTTTGAAATTGGTGAAATTGTATGGGTTTAACGCCCCTATAAACACTATTAGGTTATTTAAGGGGCGTGACCTCCTAGTTTAACGTCCGTCTCC